TGGTAGAACGTTACTGAGTGAGCTATTTCTTAGAAGGCGGGTATTCATTTTTTTACCTATTTTTTTTTAATTCAAACATTTTCTAAATTTTCTAATAAAAATGAAGAACACTACGTTTTTTCATAAATTTGAAAAGTTTGATCGAAAAATTTACGTAACTAAAAATACACGTGATGTTTAGTGGGGAGAAGGGTAATTTTAAATACCACGACGTATCACCTAGGCGCAGGGGGGTCCAAAAATCCCTAAAAAATCGATCACGTGATTAATGGACGCCTCCTTATTTAGGAAACAAGTTCATTCACAAATAGACTTATTAATAAATTTTCTTTTTCCAATTTTTATTCCTCCCATGGAAATTGTTTAGAGCGCTTTGAAAGAATGTTAGAAATAGAGTACGCGCGCATACACCAGTATGTAACTCACTTGTGTGTAACATGTGACGTTTGCGATACCGATTTAGATCAGATTGGTAACTCATAGTATATCAGATTCTTAACTTCACGACCGACATGTGTGTTAATGTTAACATAAGGCAGTGCAGGAAATCATTCTTGCAATAAAACGGTCAGATATGTCAGTGTGGCACAATTAGCCGAATCGATCACTTTACAATGATCTATAAACTAGTTCACAAGATAAAACAATAATAATAGATAGATAAGTTAGTTTTAATGTCGTGATTAGGATATAAATTTTGATTTGTTTTTTTTTTTAATAATGAAGACAGAAAACTGGTTGGTGTTGTGTGTTTTATTGTGCAGTGCTTATAGTTTGGTGAATGCAACGACTACAGCCGCAGCGGGCGAAGAAAGGCGGGAAAATAAAGCGAAGCTGGTTAGGAAATATTTGAAGAAATTAAAGAAAGAAGATGGTGCTATTAAGTTAGTCGGTGGTAGTAATGAATTGGAAGGTATATATCAAAATATTTTTTTAATTTTTCAAAATATCAATAATATTGCCTTCAATATACCGGCGATATCATAAATTAAACTAAATATCTTAAATTCTTCCATAAAATTGTAGCTATAGGTAATAAATATAATTGTAAAGTAGTGGTGCATGGTATTCTGCCTTGAAGGCAAATTGATGGGACTTCCCGTACCGTTAATAAATATTCAAAAAATAAAAATAATCAAAAATCAATAAAAATTCATCATGGATTAATAGCAATTGTTTTGAATATTTAAAAGATTATTATAAATACTGTAAGATTTATCATTCGTATTTTGCAGACTAAATATAAGATCTTATAAATTAGGCGACAAATGGTATGGTAATTTTTATTGAATTTTTATAAATTTATGTGCCTATGTCCAATGATCATTTTTGGCCATTAAATGTCAGTTTTTTAAGCATTATTTTGTATGTTCGTAAGGAAAACGCCTTAAACTTAAGTAACGCATAAAACCAAGTCAATTTATATCCTTATTTTTTTTAATTTAGGAGAGAATGCAACTGTGCACTCTTCGAAGCATTCAACAATTCATTTGCAGACAGCTTATTTTTTGCATTATCACTCATAAAATTTACTTAATGTCTATTGGACAGGTGTAAATTATATCCGCAATAAAAAAAATCTGTATGTCCAAAAGCGCTGGACCTGCTTTTCCAAAAATGTTCTTCACTTTATCAATGTAAGTGATTTTTTTTGCGATTGATTTCTCTTACTTTGCGATAAGTAAGTAATAATTATACAGGTTCAAAAAACAAAAAAAGTTTCTGGAAATATATTTCTTATTATTTGAATTATATTTTTAATATCCACTTGCAGTAAGGATTTGTATGTAGTTTTGTTTCCAAATTTGTAAAAGTCTAAACTAGAATAAATTTTGAACCATATTTACAATTTTAGCAAAAACAATAATTTGCAGAACTAAAATGTTGATTACCACATTATTCTAAATTTGCTTTAATATTCAATTTGTGTGTATTTTTATTAATATAATTTTTTTTAATTAATAATAACAATAAAAAATTGTTAGTATCTATATTACAATTATTATTTCAATTTAAATCTGTGATACATGAAAAAATAATAAAAATTTACGTATTAATGCATTTTTCAAAACTCAGCGATGTATATTTTATATTATATAAAAAGAGATTTTTCATTTATATTATTATAGTCTAACATTCGTAATACGCTATTTCATGCAAGAAAATTGCAATTTACTACTTACGATATCCCATTTATAAACTCGTTTAAGATGAAAATACGTCTTTTCATAAAACTTTATATATACATATATATATATATATATATATAATATATATATATGTATAATATATCAGGGTGATCCTTAATATGGACATTTTGGAATTTCCTTGCTTCTAAGGCTCAAATGGTTCCAAATTGATAAAAAACAATTCTCTGAAAGTTTTAGCTCTTAATATTGTCTTTTAGATAGAG